CACTTAATGTTGATAACAATGACTTTTAAAAAGATCTTTGATTAAACTCCAATTACAGAAAGTACATAAGAATTTATAAGAGAAAGTTAAGAAAATTGAAAACAAGCTATTTTAAGATTTGTAGATTTTGTGAACTGAATCTCAAAACTAGCTAGAACGTATTATATCCATTTCATAATTAAGAACCATGTATCTGAAATAAATAAAGAAGTCTACTGCGATGGCACCAACGAACATGGCAAATGACGAGGTGAAATTAGAGTAAGGAATGCTAGTACTGCCCATTTTAGGTATCTAGTCCTTGCTTATAGTAGAAACCTTATAAATACTCTTTCTGAATTCCAACACTTCTTGCAAAAGCCCAGGAGAGAGATGATATAGAATTACTTATTTGGTGTCTTCTCCGTCTTATCCATTAAGTTAAAAACACAGATTCATAACTTTTCTGGGAGTTGGAGGAACGAGGAGTTTGGTAGGCTCATGGCAACTAACCAGAAAAGAGTACTAACTGGCTCAGCGGATCAAGAAGAGTTTTAATTTGTTCACTTTGAAACATTGATCTCTTCTGTCTTCCCATTTGCAAGCGGTTCCGGGGAAACTTCTAAAAATGTTACCCACGAAATTTGAGACAAAACTAACCTCAACCAGTTTAAACTTTGATACTGAGCGATAACTGCATGACTATGCCCTCTACTTTTGAAAAAAATTGCTTACCAGAAGAGATAGTAGCATATCGGTGATCTGCATTTCGGTACGTATTTATTGTTGAACAAATCCTCCTAAACGGCTAGTGCAAACTATAGTATCCTTCTCTTGTAAGTCTCAATGATCAATGATGCTTGAAAAATTACTGCTGGAATATCAAACAAACATTCAGGGGTCATTGTTTCTAAAAGCCGAGAAAGATTCTGATGGTGGGATATTTGGATGTCAAGCGGAAAATTCTGTTGGGAGGAGCTCGGTGCTTGAAACGCACGTGGTAATTGCTGGTATGTTACGATGTATCTCACTATATATTGGTAGTGATGTTATTGACTTTAAGTCAGCTTAATTATCTTAGAACCTCCGGTGTTTATAACGCGACCACCTTCCGAGCTTCGAGTTTTCGAAGGTGCCCCTGCTAAAGTGGAGTGCGATGGATTTGGGGATCCTCTGCCGATAGTTTACTGGGTTCATTCCGAGGTGATTTTATTCTTAACATTTTCTTCCATAAATATGATATAATCAGTTGTTCTAGAGAAGAATATCTTCGGCTGTACTCTCGTTCCCTTCCGTCTCGCATAGCGATCATGGTGTATATGAATGTATTGTTAGTAACGCTGTGTCATCCATATCAAGCACAATGAAACTCATTGTCGACGTAAGATTTTAGACGAATCCCATTGTAGGACCAACACAATGATTAAAGTATATCACAGAAAGCGCGTCCTCAATCAGCAATTATCGACAGTGTCGAATGTGTGGGTGATGAAGCAATGACATTGAGCTGGACGCCAGGTATCACAGAGAAATAACTAACAAAGGCTTTAGATTTTAAAAACACCAATCTTTTCGATGTTCCTTGATCATTGTTATGAATCAGTCCCAGAAAAATCTATGAAATCGATTTTTGCAAATTTTTTGTTTCATTGAAGGAAGCTTCCCATGTTTCTCGTAACAAATTGAACGCTTTCAATTCTCATAAGCTCGGTTCCGGATTACATTTCTCAATTTGTAAATGCTCCATCTACCTATAATTTGTAGCTAATATCCTAAAGGCATGTCTCTCTCACATATAAGCCTAGTAGTTTCCGTTTCATAGTGTTTTACCCGCACTTCCACTATTGGTGTGCGCATGGGTGCTGTTAGATTGACGTAATTTTAAAAAGATATCTTTCAAAAGTAGTATGAATTATTTTGGTTTTCAGCATATAGAGGAACGACTTTCTGGTAATGATGGACCATACAATAACATGAAGTTTCAAAATGTATAAAAGTCTCTTAAAAGTCGATATAATAGTTGGATAAAATTTGCATGATAGGAGTAATACGTTTTTATGGATTTGTGAATTCTTGATGTAACAGCCTTTCATATCTGGTTTAGGGTTCAATGGCTCCTATGCGCAATCTTTCATTGTACACTACTCGTCTGACGATGATCCATCAGACAAAAGCCTTCTTACCACATCGAATTCGGCAACGATCGGTGACTTAAAAGCTTTTTCGAAGTATAGGATCTATGTGGAAAGCCGCAATCAGAAAGGCTCTACGAACTCAACAACAGTTGAGAAACACGGTCAGCAGGGATAATGATATGACGTTATCTTTCTATTCTCGTATGTCCTAGTTTTATCCGACAAACAATGATCCGCAATCGTAAGTGAGGCAAGCCGACTGGATTTGATGACAAGGCATTCTTTTGGGTGGTTTGATATTGCTTGTCGAAGCCAACATACGAAATACGTAAAAATCTTTGGATCGAAAATGATTAGCTTGTCACAGTGATTGCGGAACATTGATTAATTGAGAAGTAGCTAAATAGCGCAAAAGAAAAGAACGAAACTCGTTTCTTTAAAGGTGATCTTGTTTTTCGTGTATAGCCCTCATTTTGAAAACCTCACGAGGAGTTTTCTTGTGTTGCATCGGCGCGGACAACGTACAGGTTTCAGTTACGTTTTGCAATGACGAATAGAATTGAAATAAGGGGGACGGATATATCAGATTTTCAATTTCACGTTTCACATATTTCAATTATAGTTCTAGATCTAAATGAGTATCATTAGATCTTCAGGTCATCCCCTATTAAATCCAAGTATGTCGAAGCACTTTATTAATTCTTGACTATACCAATTTCGCTCAACCCTTCAATCGGAATTTTGGCAAGAGT